TCTTGGGTATAGATAGATTTTAAAGAACCGTCATATTAGAGTTAGTATGTGGGAAAAAACTAAAGATGAATAATGAAGTTTAAAGGGCAACTTTGTTTAATTTTTTGACATCATTTTTTGACATGAATCTGAGATCACTTTTAGATTTAACTGCTGTTATTTCTTAAAACTGGGTTTTGTTAGATATCAACCGAGGCATTTAAAACTCCTGAATTTAAAACTGACCATAGGTATCAACATTTCCAGTGTTGGATATTTTATTTCATATTTTTGATGAGTCTAAATGTAAAATAGTTTGAAGAAATTCTGATTTACATTTAAAAAAAACCAACATAAAAGTAGAAATATTACAGCTAAAACTAAAGATACATTACCAGTCTACTTGATCAAGATTAACCATACAAAAATACATACATTTGTAAAAGTCATAATTTCAAATTCTTTTTTTTTTCACTTGAACTTTTTTTTGTTTTACTAATATTAATATTAGTCTTGTCCGATCCTTTTCAGAATCAGAATCAGAAATACTTTAATAATCCCAGAGGGAAATTACTTTTGTTACACGCTCCAGCTACAGTTATATATATATATATACACACATCCAACTACACAAGATAATAAAGATATCTTATTTTCTGTGATTGGTAAAACAGATTTTATTTCTTTTACATTTTAATTAGATTTCTCCTTAGTTACAGTGTATCCCAGTTAACTGCTATTCTGGTTCATTTCTCTCCCTCCCTTAGTCTCCATGCACTCTTCCCTTTTCCCCACCCAACTCGCATTATGTCACAGTTTACTAACCTCCATTTAACGCCATTTTCTAATTTGTTCTCATTGTTCCCTGATGGGTTCTTCCGTGGTTTCCCTTTCAAAATCATTTATCACATCGATATTTTTGCCTGTTACCTCCCACTTTTTCTGCCTGTTTCTCTTTACCCTTCATAATGTTTCTCCTAAGATCCTGTCTGCGACTGAACCCTCTCCAAATTCTCACCCTTTGAAAAGTACATAATTTTCAAGTGTTAAAATTACAACTCATTGGGAATCTATATATTTCATAATATGTTGAAAGAATGCAGGTGTGCTTATAATGGCGTACTGCAGAATATCCATGTTGTTGCTGCCCAAAGCCATGCTATGCTTGATTAGTCCTAATCTGGCCTGGGAGTCGGGTTGCCGTGTCGGCGGCGTGTGTGTATGGAAGGCATGCAGGCTGCAGATCACAGGGATTGACCCTCAGCCTCTCAGGTTAACAGAAGCCTCTACATGTGTGAGTTCTGGAAGCCGTGCTTGTGAAACGTACTGAGCATCTCAGCTCCAGGGCACATGATAAGAATCTGGAGCGTTTGAGGAATCGCTGTCCGGATCAGCCGCACAATGTCTGGCTGTGGGTTTAATAAAGAAGGCAGTAGAATAAAGAGAAACATGGATGTGTGGAGGTCTGTAAGAAGTCTTGTTGAACTTTGGCTCCAAGTTCAGTGCAGCAGGACTCACCTCTCATAAAAACGTGCCCTGGTGAGGCTGTAAACATAAAATGCTAAACTCACACTCCTCTTGCCACTGGTTCCAGATTACAATCGCCTTTTTAATTAATAGACTATTAAAAAAACAAGAGACTTGCTCCCATCCACAGTGCTTCAGATAACAGAAGAAGTGTTATGGGTTTAGTGAGAACAGAACCGCAGCAAAGTGGCTGCCTGCAGACGGCTTAAGTTGTCTGTTAGTGTCTGTGTAAGTGTGTGTTTGGAGAGTTTTTAGGATCAAACCCTCATGTCTACAGAGCCGGCGTTGAAGAGACGACCGCTGACAGGTGCTTCCTGCAGCAACGCAGCAGGTGTTTCAAACTCTCTCTCTCACACACACTCCAACACACAGACACGCACATAGAGGCAGATACTTTACCCCCCAGGACACGATTCTACGTGTACTGACACAGACACACACTTTCCTTTCCCCTTCACACACTGAAGTTGTGGACTACAGGCTAAACTTAACTTCCAAAGCTGCTTCGAGTGCGTCTGTGGTGTCATTTCATTAAGAGATCTCTTGTTACTTTTAGAAAAAAAAAATCTGAACTGTTATTTATTATAGAAAGTTCTGATTTCATTATAAAACCACACTCTCTAAAGTCTTACCTCTTTTATTTGTTGAGTTTCAAGCAAGATTCTGCATCTCCCGACGGCAGCTTGCACGGTCCTGATAGAATAAAATCCTGTTATTTGGGTGTGTTTTAGTCCGTTCAGCCTTGTAGGTCACCAGATGTCGGCGGGTTGTTTTGGGGGTTAGTCTAGCATCACTTTCAGCAGCTGCCTGCTGTTAAAAGCTCTTCTGAAAACAGTGAACATGAACCAAAGCTAAAACATTACGAAAAAGAAAACCCAGATCTCCAAAAAATAAATCAATCAAAACTATTTTAGCAGCTAATTATAGCTGGGTTTAACATATTATACATTTAATTTAACCATTAAAAGTTCAGTTTAGCATGACAACAGTTAGATTATATTTTTTTTTAATATAATTTTCAAAAAAACAAAAAAGAAATAATGTCTCCTCTCTTTTGCTTAACCGGTGGCTTTTATTGGTAGCAGTTAGACAGCAAACATGCAGCAAAGTTATTAATGTCAGGATTTGAACCACAAACGGCTGCAGTTTTGACCATTCATCTCTGCGCTTGGGGTTTAGTTATAACATTTGTTTATAATGGTGTTCAATGAGCATGACCAGTGGAGTCTCAAAGTAGACACAAAACATGATTGCAAATATTTAAGCAAGAAAAATGTGAGCTAAAAAGTGATAAATAATATTAAAAATAAGAAAATAAACACATTAAATAAGAAAACAAGAGTAGTAACACCTAAAAGGGATAGAAGGGCTAAAAACACACACACTAGTATGCAGTGATGGATATGACCCAGCTGTGGAAAGGATTCAGGCAGCTCGTATTTCTGCACTAAAAATGTTTTCTTATTTCTGATATAAAACTAATTATCGCTCAAAGAAATGTTTTTCATTTCTTTTAAGCAGAAAATCATCATAATCAAAAGAAAAGACATAAAAACAAAAGTCAGTTAAATTAATCTTATTTCTTATTGAGTTAATTGGATAAATCCATTTCTCTCATTTAAATTTATTAAGCATGATCGTATTTTGTGGGGGAAAGTTTCACTTTTTACCTTTTCAAGACTTTTTTTAGACTTGCTAGTTTTTTTTTATAATTCTTAGTTTTATGTATTTATGGATAATATTTAACCGTATACTATGCACATCTATGCATTTTTCTCTGTTTTCCACTGTTTTTCTTTTATTTTTTAGTATTTTTACCCTTTTGAACCCTTTTATACTGGGTATTCCGATTATTTTCATTATTTTCTGATTTTTCTGATTCTTTTTTATTATATTTTTTCTTGTCCTTTTGCTATTGTTTTTGGTGGTTGTTGTATTATGCTGTCTGTATTTGTGTGTGTGTTTGTGTGTGTGTGTATTTTTTTAAAATATTTTAGTCAGATAAAATAATTGTCACTCAGGGAGCTTTCTGATCATACTCAGGTTTCCTCTAACAGCAGTGCAGGTACTCACACTTACTGTATCCTTGACTATCACTGCATTACAGATAATGCAGATTATGCAAACAATTTTTTTGTGTGTGCAGATAATTTTATTTCATTTATTGCAGGCCTTGTACTGTAGTTTAATTATTTTTTTTAAATCACAGATTAGAAAATGGCCGACAAGTGGCAACTTAAATCCTCCAGCAATTTCTTCTGCGTGGTCGTGCTTTCCTCCAGTAGTCCTGTTTGCCTCAGCGGTAACTCTAAACTTGGGTATTAATGTATTTTCAGACATCATAAACCAAAAGTGGCAAGTGACAACAATAATTACTTTTTTTTTCTTCTATAAATGTAGTAAATAACTACTTGGTTACTTAGCCGTTGCTTTGGTTTCCTTCAATGAAAGAGTAGAAGAGTGACTGAAAAAGCTTTAAAGTTTGTATAAAAAATATTTTACAATGCATAATGTGTATGAGTAGCAAAAAACTTTCTAACTAAACTCAATGAACTGCAATTTTTACTAAAGTGTTTTGTGAAGCAATAACTTAAAATACTGTACACATCTAATTAAACAACTATCTGTCAGCTAGTTTAAGAAAATGTGAGTCTCTCAGCGACACAAACCCCCAGTCAGGATGTGCTGTATGCTCTGCTGCAAGGTCTTCAATCAGCAAGTCTATTTTTCTCTCTTTATTTTCAATCACAAGCATCAACAGGGCAGCACAGCCAATCCTTGACACCGCCGCTGCCAAAACATGGCCTCAGCTCAACAAATAGGAGCTCCTGCATCTGTCCAATAAGCCCCTCCACCAGTTCCCAAGAGCCATGACGCCATATCGGCCAAATGGGAACAGAAGTCATGACGACAAGTCAGACGGATGCTTTTAAAGATCTGTATCTGGGCTACCTTAAACGGCTATTTGAGGGGCAGCAGTGTACGTTCAGAAAGCTGGATGTAGATTCTTGGCTGTGTGGCCTGTTTAGTACGGAAACACATTAAAGTTTAAATCAATTTTTCTTAGTCGCTGCTTGGATAGTAGGTTTGAGCGCTTTTTTTCCAATTATAATGCTAAATTAGGTCAAATTACAGACAAGTAGGAAACAAACTTATTTAAAACAAAGTTTTGGATGAATCTACATTTATTTTTCATCACTCAACCAAACATTATCAAGATTTCTTTACAATATAAAAAGCATAATAAACCCTGAATGTAGTTTTCTACCTTTGAGAAGGCTTTTATTTTGAAATCTTTTCCTCCAATGGCCAATCTATATTATTTTGTACCCACATTTTCGCTACGATACTAATAAATAAAATATTCGGATCAAAAACAGAGAAAATGCAGGGAAATATACAGCTTATACTTTCAGCGTGTGTCCTTTAAAGGGTTAAAAACATTGAACTATTTTAAAGCATCATTCATGTTGGTGTAATAGTTTTGTCATCGATAAATTTTAGTAGTTTTCTGCAGGATTATAGCATGACCATCCCTCGCGTAAATTCAGACAACAGCTGTTAAAAGCTAAACCAGATGTTTGCTTTTTTTAATGTGTGAAGATTTTCCTTTGGGTTTTCTTCAAAATGGACAAAAGAGTCCAAGTTTTCCACTAAAACCTTCAGCAAAGAATCAAGACCCCCTGAAATGTTACCATAGTCCTTTTTGTAATTGTACATTTTTATTTCATTCAGGACTTTGAGTGGAACACACTGGTGTGAGGGTGGAGGAAGAGGCTGCTGCCTCTGTGGGTGTAAGGTCACGGTTGGTGCCGGTCTGAGGATCATCCCAGTTCACAGAGTGTTTTTTGTCACCATGAGGATTGGCCTCTGTCCCGCTCAACAGGTGAGGAGGGATGTAAGCAGAATGTGTCTTTGTGTGCTCCCCACTCCGAGGGTGCTGGCTGTTTGGAGATTTTTGGGGGCAGCGGCCCCTCTTGTCCTGCCCCCGGAAGCCCCTGAGTTTGGGGCTCCAGTGTTCCCGCCACTGAAGGGCCAGTGTGGAGCGATCCGCCACCAGGCGACTCTCTCCTGGAGCCCAACTCCGCTCCCCTTCTTCTGCGCCGATGAGGAGGAATGTCCGACCCACGTGGAGGGCGGGGCAGCCGCAGCTGAGGTCACGGTCGGGAACCCAGAGGGATTGTAGGCCCCTCCGGACGCGGGAGTTGGAGCCTGTCCGGAAGACGGTCTGAATGGAGATGGAGAACTGCCACCAGGGACCAGAGCGCTCCATCCCTCTCACCTGCACCTTCAGCACTGATAAAGAAACAAACACTTTGAAATAACATTCCACTTTCATAAGGGGTTACACCAATCCAATAATATTTCTTGCTTTAAATATGGCCTAATCAATAGGAAATATATTTCAAATGATAATTATTAATTAATTGCACAAAGTTTTATTTCACTAAGTTTTCCTGTTGTTTTTTTTTTTTTTTTTCAGCTCTCGAATGTGATTCCAGTTCTTTTTGAATGCAAACACACATTACTTGCTGCTGATGCAAATCACTTTTCACCAGGCTTCAGCTGTGGGTTTTTTATTATAAAAAAGCACTAAGTTGAGTAGGATTTCTGTATCTGAGCCTTGGAATGATATTTAGGTTTAGCTTGAATGATTAAGATTGAAATACATTCTTTGTCATTTATTTTTTAAGGGATTAAAAACAATTATCTGGGCCTTGTATTTTTTATTTTTATTTTTTTACTATTTTTTTGTTTTGTTTTTTAGTTTTTTTCACAACCTAATAACACCCAAAAACATCCCCAGAACAAAGTGTTATGTATTGTCAAGATATTTTTTTTCTTTGCAATTTGATTTACCTTATCATCAGAAATGTTTCTTATCCAATAATGTAATGTCAGTGTTTTGGTGCAACAAGTTTTTAGCTATCACTTTTCCAGGTATGGCCTGATTTATAAGGACCTATTTTTCCAATGTAAGCTTGTGTTTTTTTTGTTTTTTGTTTTTTTTGCTTTTTAACTGGACTTTACACCCTTTATTCCTAAACTTTTTGGTTGCAAAGTGTATCTTAGCTTGCTTTAGATGCATAACTTTTGTATCAAAATCAAAGAGAGGGATTGCAAACAAAAACTAAACAGTATTACCTTATATACATCATTTATCTCTTTTTTTTTGTGGCTATTGGGTCAAAACTAAGGAGCAGTTTATCAATTTGGAAATTGCCAATAATTTACCTCTTGGTTGAAATATTAATTAGGTACATACTTTATGGCACAATCCTGTCTTAAATTTGTAAAACTATGACTGGAAAAAAAAGGAAAATCAGGATTTTTATTCATTTTTATAAAATAAATAGATAAAAGATGAAACCAACCGTAGTCCTTGAGACAATACGTCTCCAGGTTCATCTTGACTTTCAGCTCAGAAGGCTTGCAATAGGACACACACTCTTCAGCTGCAGGAAAACAGGAGCCAGAGAGAATGTAGAAAGATGAGAGGCCATCATTTCTTAGCACAGACATCAGCACATCAGCTTTTAACCTCATTACAATATGGCTGCTTCCATGTGTCATCACAGTATCTAATGTATCAGTTACAGCAGGTGGGGCTTTCTTCAAGCTGCCACTAGGAGGGACTGGTTCCCTACTTCATTACGGGTAAAAGCACCCAGATGCAGCATGAACCTTTATAATGGAAACTAAAGAACCAAATCCTAAATAAAGGGGAGTTACAAAGATACCTTGTTGTGATGTATTTTGTTTTGTTTTAATGCATTTAAAAGAAGAAGAAAAAAACAGCTATGTTTTTTGCAGTGTTTTAACTCTCATTGAAAAGTGAGAGCTGGTAAAGGGAAAAGGTTTGGATGATGACTCTCCTTTTTTTCTGCTATATTAACTCAAGCAGGTCTGATTAAGAATAATAATAAATGAAACCAAATGCAGTGCCAGATGGATAGATTCAGGGTTAGTGTTTGAAACTCCACATCTGGCTGTATTTGTAACAATAATGGATTTTCTAATAAAAAAAAAATGTGCATCGTGATCTTCTATGTAGCCAGGCTTTATTGATGAGTTTAAATTGGTCATGAGCAACATTTGTCTGGAATTGTTTTTGAAATCTTTTATAGTTTTCCTATCAATTTTATTAATTTTCAGGCCTGTTTTTTGGTTTTCCAGTAATTTTTGGACTGGCCAGGGAATCAGACAGACATGATCGGCCTCCTAAATGCAATGGGATACGAGCCGTTTTCATCAGGTACTAGAAGTGGGTAATATATGTATGGAAAAGCTGCAAAAGTCTGGAGAAAAACTTAAAGGAAGAGATAATAAATTAGCCATAGCTTAAAAGTTATGCTTACAATTAAATATACTGTAAGAATTAAAGCAACAAGGCAAATATTATGGAGTTTTCCATATAATCCGACACAAAGAGGTTAGAGTAGATCCTACAATCACAGAATAGATTTTTAAAAAGTGCATACATTTAATTTAAAAGGAAAAAGGAAGTTCCCTGATTTACTCACCAATGCTGTGCTGAGTTTGGTACACTGGGGTTGGAGCAACCTCCTGAATTCCTGCAAGCATAAACACACCATCAGACAGGTGTCAGATACCGAGAAACGTCAGGCTACTACCTATAGGAGCTGTCAGTTTGTTGCAAATGTGTGTTTTATAGGTGTTGTGTTTGAATGCTCAGGCATGCCTTCACACAAGATAAGCAAATGTTGAAAGGTCTGAGTGTGTGGTCCTTTTATGGTCTAGGAGCACAGCCCTTAAGGCTCGCTCAGACGCACAAGCAGACGTAAATTTTGCTTTCAGTTATTTAATAAGGTAAGGCTTTCTCTTCCTGTATAGCTTTGTCTAAAACATTAAACAGAGACTGGTAAAGATAGCCTCTCCTTAAGTGTTTAAAATAAAAAAATAACAACCTGTGGTGTGCTCATACATTACCCAGACCTCTTGTAAAATAGTCTGCGTGTATCGGCTTCTCTAAATAAGTTATATTTTGCGTCGTGCTTTTGGCACAATGGGGCCAACGACACCCAACATCCCACAGAGGAGTGTGTATTTCACCAAAGTTTATCTAAAGCAGGGGCAACTTGCGGATCTGCATATGGTTCTTTGGACCCTCAACAATGGCTCTTAGGAGTGGCTAAAAATGATACAAAGAACTACATAATGTACTATAAGAACAAATACCAGTCTTAGACGCTTTTGTGGTTTTTATAAAAAAAAATATTGGAAAGCACCAGAAAAATCATTTTAGAGCTACATTTCCATTAGTTAGCTTGGAAACTAGGTGTTTTATTATTATCATTTCTGTTTACATCTAATAATACCCTACAGAAAAAAATCCATGCTTCAGTTTTATGAATTGTTTTATGCATTTAAAAGCAAAAAATACAAATAAGGTCTTAGGTTTTTAAAATAGCAACATATTTCTTATGGGAGATATTTAGCAAAATATAGCTTGTGTTTTTTATTAAAATAATCATGTGACATGTTGCGGCTCTAAACAAGTTTTTCTTAGCTGGACTCAGGGCAAAATTGCTCTTTGGATATGAAAGGTTGCAGACCCCTAAAATAGAGGGTTAAATTATGTTTTATCATTTAAACTTTCTTAGTGAACAGGCTATGATCAGATACAATAGCCACATTTTGGCCAAACATACCTGTTTTTAGTTGTATCTACTTTAGAGCATATTAAAGTTTAAAGAAAATGCAATCTTTTTTTTTTTTAAACAAACATGTTTAGAGTCAAAAAGAGGTTACCAGAACCTGTGGTGACATGTTCATTGTTTTTGGATTCTATGGTTTGATTCAAATATCTGAATCTCAGAAAATTAGTTTAAGTATCATTTGGCATTCATAATTGACTGAAAACTTTCCTTTAGTTTTTTTTGTGATAAGATTTGACAATTTTCGTAATAAGGCTATTGGCTAAAGAGTAGGGCTGTAACTAACGATTATTTTGCAAGTCGATTAATCTATCGATAATTTTCCGATAAATAATCAAATAGTAAAAGGTTCCTTAAAGAAGTTTTTTTACTAAATTAAACCAAGTGAAACTAAAGCTTTTCCATTTGATGAGTTCTGGATGGAGCATAATAACAAATGAAAATATTTTTTTTTATTTTAAATGCAAAATGTTTATAAATTTTTTACAATTTTGATCTAATTACTGCTATAAGTGGGTTGATCTGTCTGCTAAATGCATGTTTTAGAGTCTCTATACTCCAGTTAATGATTAACTGAATATTAAATTAGTTGACAATTATGTCAAAAATCAATTAATCACAATTAATCCGATTAATTGTTTCAGCCCTACCTTTAACATCAGCATCTAATAAAAATATATTAAATTTGGCATTTATTCTTGCACCAATTTCTGGCATGTTTAGTTTTTGTGTCCTTCATTAAAGCGTTTAATGAAATTAGTTCTTTTTTTCTAAATATTCTAAGTATTGCCAAAATAAATATTAAAAACAGACATCACTACACAATAAAAAGAAATTATGCCTCTGTTGGATCTATTTATGCATCTTTAGTTAGTTTAAAATTAAAGTTTAATGTCAGAAAATTCATAATATTTTTTAAGAATGATAATCTAAACTAATCGAATCTAAACCAATGATACATGATCGTAATGAATGGGATTAATAAGAACCCACTCAAAACCAGAATCAATCAAAACTCAACTCAATAAAAGAAACATGTTGAAAAAACATGTTCTATTTATCTAAATCAATTTAATGAATTTGACATCAATTTAATCTCACTCATGCATTGCTATATCATTCGAATGAGCTCCTCTGTTCGAACCTCTTTATTATGCTATTTCATCCTCAGTTGGCTATCATCTTTGAAGACTTTTCATGTGGTGCAGTTAATAAAATAGTAAAGAGATATCACAAGCTAAAAAAAGTGCCAGCTGGTGGCTAAATGCAGTAATTCATGTGGCTTTTGAAGGATAGAACAGTAAAAAAGAAAATTTGTGAGCCTCCTGTTATAAATAACAACCAAATAAAAACGTCTGGCAGGAGCTAACTTGGAGTTTAACCTCATAGGGGATGAATTAAGGTGTTGGAGGTGGTAGAGGCCTGCTATACATAGCCTGTGGATGGTCTGGCAGTAAAAACAAACAAGGTTTTCTTTCACTCACTGCTTTCACTGGGAGAGTTATGAGTCTGAGCACTGTCATGGGGGTGTTTTGAGCCGTGAAACAGGTGTCAAGGTCCCTGCCTCTGGCTCCTAGCGTCACCTGATTTGGATTTAAAGAGCAGCACTGCCCTGTAGTTGTTGGCACTTGGGTGATTAGCTGGGTCTGTGCGTGTGGATTATCGCTTCGGGCTGATTTTTGTTGCTGTGCAGGCAGAGAGATGAGTAGCAACCATCCTTTTGATCTGATCCTGATCTGTGATCGGGGTGAGATCGGGTTTCCTTGTATCAGTCAGCTCATGTTAACGCTGCTGTGGAAACCGTCACCAGGGAGGACGGGAGGGAGACACTAAGGTTGAGCTAAGTTGCCTTGGATGCAACATGCCCTTTTTTAAAAATATCAAACCATAAGCATGTTAGGCTTAAGGAAAAATTAAACTGTTATTTTTTCTTTAATTGAAATCAAGATATTAAAACCAAAAAGGGGTTTTTTAGTTATTTAAAAATATTCTTTAGGACCGAACATCATAATGTTTTTTTTGGCATTGGCAAAAGCAGACTACGAGAGAAAATCACAAATAAATTTAAATGTTTTCCATTCTGATTAATTATAGGGATAAGGAAATATTGCCCTCCTTATATTTACTAGGAAAGTAATCACTCATCTTGAAATCTAATAAAAGATTTTTATTAATTTAAGAGTATATCTTAAATTATAGATTAAAACATTTTTGAGAAAATTAAGGGGAACATGAAAGAGATCACTCCATAAAATCAACCTCAGACCATCAGAAACAAGACACAATACATTAACTTCACTATTCTAGGCAGAGTAAGGAGTAATCTGGATTGAAAATAAAAAAAGAAATAAAAGCTGGCTTTAATCATAATGAAAAACTCTAACTGATGATAAATCTAAAAATAAAAAATGTATGTTATACTAAAATTGAGTAATTTATATATTCTTAAAGGTATAGTGGAGGATTTTCTTTTTACAGTTGGATCATCAAAATAAGTGGTCCTCCTAATTGTCCATCATTCTGGTGATATGTTTACATAAGGCCGTCCTACGTGCTCGTCCCCATTTTCACTTACCGGTTGGGAGTCTGACATAGTGGAAAAACTGCTAATCTTCTTTTGTAAAGTTAGCTTGTATTAGCGATGCAAACAGCAACTTTTAAACAGAGTGTGCATGAGGAGAATGGGCTTGTGCACGCTCTCGCACGCATAATAGGCGTTCCCTCTTGGGAGCGGGTACAGGGTTGTGCATGAGCATTTTTTATTTAAAAGTAGAGAGGGCGTGTCTTTTAAAAAATTCACCAAAATCCTCCACTATACCTTTAAGTGAAAACAGAAAAGTTTCGTTGCCTTTTTACTGTTCATGTACACCACCACAGTGAAAGTTTTCCTTTGAAGCAGTACAATTTGAAATCTCTAGTCTACTAAAACCTTCAACACAGCATCCTATTTTCCTAATCTCCCAAGAAATAGAGTAATATTATCCCCGTGGGGAAGCACTGGCAAATTAGCACTTTGATTTATATTCTTCTTAAGAAAGCACATGTTAAGTGTCAAATTAAACCCCCTGCAGGTGGCATGGCAGAGAAAACACATCATTTTAACATTTGTTTGCACAGAGATTGCAATTCAAATGCTGTCATGTAAATCTGTTTAAACAAAGAAAAAATATTTCTCAATGGATCATTGCACAGTGCTTATACTATATTTTTGAATACTTTTATTTTATTTTTAAGTACAACATCTTATTTCTACTACTTTAATCTTATAGAACTATGGGTCTGTAAATTGTTTTCAGTTACAGATTCATGAACAGAGAAAAAACGTTATTTGGGGTTTTGATGGCAGCTCACACTGAGCCTGGTTCTGCTGGAGGTTTCTTTCTGTTAAAAGGGAGTTTTTCCTCTCCACTGTCGCTACAAGCATGCTTAGTGTGAGTGATTGCCTTCGAGTCAATGAGTCGATGCAATCAACTGGTTTACCTTAGATAATAACCTCAAATCCATTTGACTGTATGATCGGGCAGAATTGTAAAGTTCCTTGAGATGACATGTGTAGTGAATTGGCGCTATATAGATAAACTGAATTGAATTTTCATCCCTATTAAAGCGACAGAATAATATGAACATTATAAAGTGCCTTGTCCATGTCACCTTGGTACTATGACACCCATCTTGCCTAAACCTCAGATTTCAATGACATGTCTCATTTTTTTCTATTTTTTTCTTTCTAATTGTAAAAACCCTGTGAGACTTACGTATGCAGGGCCGCAGAGGGGACTTGCCCTGTTTGTATCCCGGAGCACAGCGGTTACACCTCAGGCCAGTCACTCCTTCTCGACACAGACACTGACCTGATGTCTGGTTACACCAGTGGCCTACAGCTCCCAGAGGATGGCACTGGCATGCTGGATTGGAAAAGGACAAAATATTTAAACCATAGCCTTATATAAAAAGTGTATGTGAAAATATGTTGTGAACCATTAAAAACATTGTTGTCTAGAAGGAGCATTAGTATACTGCACATGTTCTGCACTTAGGTAACACTGAAAATTGCAATTGATTTGGAAATTGTTGGTCTGAGACCAATATGTTCAAGGCTCATAAACTGTGTTAAGGTTTACATTTTTTTTGGTATATTTATAAGTATTATAAAAAAAAAAAAAAAAAAAACTTTTAAAAGTTTGAGTTGTAAACCTGCAATAAAATTCTTTTTTGCACATTGTTTTTGAATTAGACATTCTTGGAATTAGTAAAAAACATGATATGATTTTCTGGAGTTTTATTTGCTTATACAGAGTGTAATTTACAGCAGGTCTTACCCTCCCCCACATGTTGCTGCTCAATACCCAGTGCGGTTTGAAAATATTACCATTAATATAATATATGAATGTTATATATATTATTATAATATTGCCATGAAAAACACAAACTGTTGGGGCCTTTGAACTAAAAAAACTCACTTTTGTTCAGAACCTGCTTCCACTGTAGGGGATACAGTATATTTTTATACATCTAAATAATAAAATAGTCTGTCAGCTGAACATTTAAATAAAAAACTGTCTCCTATTAATTTCATATGATTATTCAATGACAATAAAAAAACTGATTGCAATCTGGTTTCAGGTTCTGAAATATCTATGAAACGCATATGAGGATGGGAAGTGGAAGTTCAAATCTTTTGTCAAAGTGATTCATACTCATGCTAACCTAATACACATGATCCTGGTAAAATTTCTGTTTCCATAGCAACCCACTTTTTCAAAGATTTATTTTAACCCTAAAGATGACGAAAAGTCAGATGAATCTGAATCTTTGTACCCAACAGGTTTGATAGAGTTAAAAAAACACTTTTTTTTTTTAAAGTCAGCAAATAGGTAACCACAAGTCTTCTATATAAGTGACTATACGCTTTAAGTATTTGATGATTATAAGCTGTAACATGATGCTTGAAAGCAAAACCCTAAAAGGAATTTACACTGGAAGTTATTTCCAAGAAATGGCCTTATTTTATCTTTAGGCCATAAAAATCAAAGCGTAAGTGCTAACTCAGTAACTAGCATTAGGTTTGTTACTGTGATATGTGCAATCAAATGTTATTAGAAGTTATTAAGGTTATAAGAAGTGACAAACCCCAAAATTGTTAAGTAAAACATAAAAGAGGGCTGCACAGTTGCACAAAGGGTAGCAATGCTGCCTTGCAGCAAGAAGGTTCGGGGTTTGATTCACATAATAGGGGTTTGATCTTTTTGCATGGAGTTTGCATGTTCTCCCTGTTCATCCGTGGGTTCTCTACGGGTACTCCATCTTCCTCCCACAGTCCAAAAACATGACTGTTAGGTTAATTAGTTTCTCTAAATTCTCCTTAGGTGTGAATGGTTGTTTGTCCTGTTTATATCTGTGTTGCCCTGCAATGGACTGGCGACCTGTCCAGGGTGTAACCCCCCTCTTGCCCATTGACAGCTGGAGATAGGCACCAGCACCCCTCGCGCCCCTATTAGGGATAAGGCGTGATGGATCGATGGAAGCATAAAATAAAAACTAAACCTTACAAAAAAACGAATTGAAATTAAGCAAAACTAAGTGAAATCTCAGAAAAAAAAATAGTTTTCGTTTAAATCTTTATCATAAGGCATTAATATGAGGTCTAGTTTCCAGTTTTCGCAATTACAGCATTATACGAGCAGATGGCAGGTATGGCAGTCAGGTGTGCTGCAGCAGTGGTCTGTCCCTATATGGGGTTTCTATATCATTTACTTGCTTTTGGTTTTGTCCCCAGTATGTAAATTACATCTAAATCTATAACTGAAAATGATACAAACTAAGCTTAAACTAAGCATTAAAAATAAAAATAAAAGCTAAACAAAACCAGCAAAAAAATACTGAAAACAAATTAAAACTAAAATAGAATTGAAAAACAGAAATTAACAGACAATAACAAAACTATTTTTTCTTACAGACAGAGATAGTCCACTTAAACTAGTGGAGCACACAATTAGCTGCAGGCAATACGATCAGGAAACCTCAGTTTAAAAGCACTTAGTTACATGCAGTAAAAAAGCAGTTTTTCTCATTAAAGTTAGATTAAATGGTTTAGGTTGTTATACAGGTTTGTTATTAGTTCATAGAAAGATTTAGTTATTATAGATTATGCGTCTGGGTCTCTATATCCTTGCATTTTTGAGAAGTCCTAAGTCATATTACTCAAACATATAGAGATTGTTAAATCACATTTTTTTACATTATAAAAGCATAACAGCCAAAAAATTGATCTTCTGTATACAATGCATGTAAATATTACAATTAATGGGAATTTATTTTTCATTTTTGCCTAAGTTTATGGATTAAATAAGTAAGATGGGGCATAGATAACATATTAGAGGTGTAATGATCTCAATTATCCCCTGCCTTAAGATAGCATTTGCTCAGTCTCTTTACTGGTGCTAATAAAAGCAGGAAAAACAAACCAAAGTTACTGGGTTGTTGAGTCCGAACAATCAGCTGAAAGATGAAAAAGGATTTTCCTGTGTATCTTCATGGTGTGACTAAGTGAAAGCAACTTAAAAAGATTTGAGAAAAAAAAAAGCCAGAGGGAGCCGGAACCCATCCTGAAGTGGACGACAACTCAGTGTTTGGGTTCTGGTTTAATCCTAGATGACAGCAGGCATCTATCCTTAATGTGCGTCCTTGAGTAAGACAAAGTACGTCCCTGGGATACCAGAGAATCTATTTTGTAGCCGTCTCGATGGCTAACAAAGACAAATTCCTCCTTGAAGGGCAACAGGAAAATAACAAATCTTGACACAGTATCCGTGTCGCTCCAGCGCCTTTTGAGAGGATAAACAACATTCGCTCAAATGAAGACAAATGCCGTGCTCTAACTCATTTGTTTCCTTTAGGATGGGCTGCAGCAATGTTATTGCAGCCCAGTTTACATAGCTAAGCTGTTTTTTTTACCTCTTCAATCATGGGAGTAAATGCGGGAGGACAGATGGAAAAGGGAAGGTATACTTTAGCAGCTCTGGTCACACTTGAATGAATTTTACACAGAAATCAGTAATGATTCCTAATGGGCTGACTGGAGAAAATAGAGACAAATGTCCCCACTTGCTTCTGACTGGTTACGTAGTGATATATAGCTTCAATTAGGTAATGCTTAAGCTAAATCTAAGTTTGCTGCTTTGAGCACCTCATGAATAAAAAGTATGAGCTTACTTAATCCTAGCTTGACAAGCCAAGACGGCCCATTAATGTTGGATATATTAGGCTGCTGGTCAACCCTCCCTGTGAGCAGAGCATGGCATCACATTCAGCTGGTCAAAGCTCAGCAGTCATGGCATGCCTTAACCTCTGGTAACAATAGGGATACAGGTGTCAGCTCAGGGGGAAGCCTTTTGTGTCGACGTTGCTAACATGTTGTTTTCTTCTGTAAACAGAAACAATCAATGAAATGCTTTGAGTAACAATCACCAGTCCAATCATTCATGTTAAAGGGCCAGATTTTGTAATGTAAAAAAAAAAATAGGTTGAAAAATTAATGCATTGATTTGACAAACATTTTGATATTCACTCAAATGCTAAAAAGATAAAATAATAGGAGTTAAAACACAGCTAGTATTATTAAATGGCTCTAATTTATTGTGTAGTTGTTTCAGTGATGACACATCCCTTAATGAAGTCCATGGCTGTGTCCAAATGTCCACCCTAATCACTATATAGTGCACTATATAATTGTCAAACCATTTTAAATGAGCGTCCGAAAGTTTAGTGAATGAAATTGTGGATGGTCGGCGGCCACTAGACAAGCAGATAGATCCTTGGATGCTTTACCAGCAGTGGTGTCAAAAGTACACACATTTGTTACTTAAGTAGAAGCATAGATACTGCAGTTTAAAAACACTCTGGTAAAAGTTGAAGTATCCACTTGACCTCTACTTTACTTGACCGTTACTCAAGTAAAAGTGAAAAAGTATGTGCTCCAAACACTACTAAAAGTATATACTGTAAGTATAAAGTAACCTTTTATAAAAACAGCCAGATGCCACTATATGAATTGAAAGCTCAATTTTATGACTATTTCGAAAAGCATTTTGAGATAGGGCCAAGGATGACGGAGGTCTTGTTGGTCTCCATCTTCTGATACGCTCTCGCCTATGTCTGTTCTTTCAGACATTTTGACATATTTTTCTGAATCCGACATTGTAGCATGGCATAGGCAATTCACGTTTGCAGTTTGAAGAACACCTGCTTGCTTCTGATGATTTCCTTCAGCTAACCAATGAGTGTTTGCATTATATGTTTCATCCAATCACACTAGTTTTCACTAGATGTGGATGGCATCAATGATCTGCATTGGATGGCGCACATGACGTAAAATAAACATTTATAAACATTAAACCGAAGAAGAGAGTAATGAGTAACGTTTGTTTTAAAAATGTAAGGAATAGAAAGTACAGATACTTGTGTGAAAATGTAATGAATAGAGGTCAGAACTAGGAAGATACCTAAAAAGTGTACTAGTATTTGTACTTCATTACTTCACACCTCTGTTTGTGAGGAGAGCAAAGCATTCCAGGATATATGATGCACATTGAGAGCTTGCCTCGCAAAGCATTATGGGATTCATTTTCACACTGGTCCGCTGAGCGCTACCCGACAGCGGGGAATAATAGCAAAGATGGCGCAGGTGCTGTGTGGGGAGGCAGAGTCACGAGGAGCAAAGAGTAGTAATCATCTGTCCGAACGGTAAGTTAACTGAGTTCGCTATAAAGCTCACACTCTACATATTGATTGAGGTATTTAGGGCAGAGGTTCAGATACAGCCCACGATCTATAGTAAGTTTCCAAGGCATCGGATTGTCTCATTCTCTAGATGATGTGAGCTTTGAGAAGGGTTCAAAATACTTTCCATGGAGGCAGTTAAAATAAGGCAAATCAGTGACATTTAATCCATTGTTTCATCATTAAGAATAAGACATGAAGAGCAGTGATAACAGAGGCTTATAAAAAACAACGGTAACATTTAGGAGGCGCTGAAATTTCTGATTTTAGATTTTTAACTTTATTTATTTAAGTTTGTTTCTAAAAGTAATGTTAATTTAGTATTTTTTTATGTAGCCATTTTTATCTACATTTTAGTGAAGAATTGCAAGTCAAACAATTCCTCAATTATAAATGATAAAATCCACATTTCATTTGCAGCTTTTTGCATGTTTCACTTTTATTTTGACAATTTATCTTTGGTCTTTTAGATGTTGACTCTTTTAAACATTAATTTAATTCATTTGTACCAATACTCCGGAAAAATGTCAGGATTTTTGTCTGAGTTACTTAAAAAAATACGTATTCCTGCAAACCTAAATCTGTCAGTATCTTGTGCATAACTATAAGTTATTCCAACCTGAAAAATGTAAAAAAAATCTCTTTAATAGGGTATTGTTTTAATCCTTCCAATAGGTATGCAACTACATTATTTCCTGATTTTTCTTGTCTTTTTGGCTCAAAAACATCTGTTTTCCTATTTAATCCCTAAACAATACAGGTATGATTCAAGTACAATTATGAAATGATTGATGTTCGTCCTGTTTTTGTACACCACAGTTTATTTTTATAAACTTTAAAACCTCTGGAGATTTTCTGTACCATTTAACCCAAATCCTCCTGAAGAGAGCAACACATTAATTAACTAGATTAATTAGATTAACACATATAGCTACTGACGTTGACAGGCCTTGCGGTGGTTGAGTGGTTTGCTGGTATCACGGGTGTATCCGTTCTGGCAGTACTGACAGTGGCGCCCTGCCGTGTGGTGGCGACACTTCAGGCACACGCCTCCGCTCTTCCTGCCCGACTGCTGGAACACCTCCATACTGAAGCGGCATTTGTTTGAGTGGCCGTTACACTCACAGGCTGAACAAATACAAGAAAGAATACAAATAAAAACAACAACAAAAAACACATACAAGCATAATAATATAATCTAAAAAAATAAAGGGCATTTAAGCCACTACATAATGAATTGATACCTGAACAGAACTGACAAATGTGATACAAATTAGGCAATTAAATAATACACCCACACCACCAGGGGGCCATAAAGAGTGGTAGAACTACAAACAACTGAAATGTTTACAACTGTAAATTTTCTTCTTAAGGTAGGTTCACACTGAATATGAATTTTGTAGATGTAGTGAAGGATTCCCATGATAGGTACATGAAGTGGGCGGATCATGGGCGAAGCAAAGCAGAGCGAGTCGAAGGTGGCAAATTTAGGGAGGTGAACGGAATGATTTTGGCAAAGTTCCTGATATCTGAAGTTGAAAAATCTGAACTTTTGTTCACATTTGCATCGCAAAATCCTCTCAATTACTAGATGTGGCCATGAGCTACAGTGAAGAAGCGCAGCGGAGACAAGCTTGTTTATTAAAAATGGAAAATAGAGAAACTAATGTTGATAAAAGATGAAGTGGGAATGCTCTTAAGAAGATTGAAGGTGGCTTTAAAAAAAAACATTTGAATTTATCTCTTGAAAAACTGTTGCTTTGTCTTTCCTCCAGAGCAGACGGATGCCTTATTTCCCCCACACCACCGCTGTCTGCCTGGACAAGCTTTGCTGATCCTTCCCGGTACTCCTTTCATCTCCCTCAGTTCTAGCTCCAGCAAGCCTCCTAGCTCTGCCTCCCTGGTTGGCTTCTCCGATGTACCACTGTCCTAATCCCAGGTAGCATTAGCCTCCGCCTTCAGGGTTCTCTCTTCCCATTGAACTGATCAGATCTGCTGCTGTGCTGCTCTGTTCCTCTGCAGTTAGTGTCTAAAGCTAGCCACAGCCAGCTGTAGTCTCTCCCCAGCGGGCTTCTCTGCTCTGCCTTCTCTTCCTGATCTAGTGCACTGGTTCCCAGAAGGGTTCTTCCGATCTGTTGCTGTGGTTCCTTAGTTCCAGATGGGACACGGCTTGCAGCCTGGTCCCGGTTCATTTTTTTTTCTCTGTTGGTGGTCTGGCACTGATTTCCCACTGTTTCTGTCTGAGCTCCAGAATGTCATCTCACCTATGACTATGTTGTCCGGGTGATTCACCCCCCAATGCAGGACTAGATCATGGATAGGGGAAAGTGCCCCTTAAAGCAGCCGTCATCCAGACGTAGCCTCTGGAGGAGGTGGTGGTATTCCACATATGGTTCTGTCTCTGAGAACCTGGAGAATGCAAACAGCTTTTGTCGGTTTCAAAAGTAGGAAACACTGCCTGTCACTTTCTAAATCCTTGTCCGCCATGATGAGGTGAAACCAACAACCTGCAGATTCCATGACTTTGAGTCTTTCGCCAATGAGGCAAGTTTGCCTGCTGTGTGAAATGCTTTCGCTAAAGCGGGTTTCAAGGCGAGCAAAATCAGACCAAACTGGCCACATTTTCACAGGTTTTGCATTTGGTGTGAACGCACCTTTAGGGTGCATATGAGTGACTATGGCTTTATTTCCCAATAAAAGTATTTTATGTCTTGATGTTTTATTGTCATCTTGTCAAATTCCTACAGAAATCCTCAGTTTATTTTCATTTATATTTTAGTTATAGATGGAAATGTTTAATAATACATCTCAAACCTAAACAATAAAAGAGCTCAGCTAAGGACATTTTAAAAAACAAACTTAACTTTAAGGAGGAAACAACTCTAAACATGTATCAGCTAGATTCATGTGTTAGAGGGGTCTACTTTAGACTTCCTGAAAATAAGTTGTGTAAACATTATTTTAAAAATTGGAAGCAGAGTATAACCAGTTAATGATACAAGAAAAAAATGGAAGCAAAACATGAAACCATTTTAAAGATTGCTTGTTTTGTTCAGAATAATCAGTTTTTACTGCTAAACAGATGTTTAAACAGACTTTGCATGAGGACACTTTTTTTCCACTTTGGGATTCTACAATAAATCAGAGTGACCTTCAGCTATTTGCTCACTTCTGGAAATATCGAGAGAGAACATTTGTTAGAGTTTATGTTATATTTCATATCAGATGTTTTGACTTTTTTTCAAAAAGACCAGGCAGTACTATCATCACTGGTAAAGCATCTGATAGGGTAGTTCAGAACATTTGGGCTAAGGAAGGAACTTTTAAGGCAAAGCCTCCGAGTTACTGATTTCTTGTTTTACAGCAATAAAAAAGTCAAAAGATATCAGAAAGACAACCACAGACCTCCAAAATCTCTTTCATCTTTGGGTACAATTTCAAGTTAAAGTGAGGTATAAGTTTTAGTTGTTCATATTATTATAAAAAGCTTGCATCATATTGTTCAGAAAAAAAAGACAGCTTATGTTATATAGGGAGGTTATAAGGTTAAATAAATAAGGTTAAAATACCTCAAGAAGTTTCTGATAAAGCTGTTACAGGAGTGTCATACTGTATATAGAAAAACTTTGCTGATATGAGCTGAAAGGCCACACAGAGACCATAACGATGCCTCAAAAGCAACCTTTAAAAAAACAATAATTTCAGAGATAAAACTATTTCTGTTTTGAAAAATTTCCTTTTAGTTTGGTAAAACCGATATGGAAGTGTGAGACTCTTATGGTCACTGTGACAGTTTGAGGAAAAATAGTACATTAAGCATGGGGGAGGAAGTCGGAGGTGAGAGATGAGGCGTTAACAAGTCACCTCTATGACTGTGTCCAAACGTCCACCTTAAAACCCTTAATCACTATATAGACAGGGACTATATAGTGGACTTATATAGTGAACTCAGGTAACTGATTGTTCAGACGGAAGATCACAACTTTTTGCTCCCCGTCACTCATGTAACTCCACCTCCCCACACGGTGCCTGCACCATCACTGTTCTTTCTTTCTCTATGAGCTCTCGCAAAGCATTCTGGGATATATCTACTCCTCTAGTGACCATGGAAAGCACTACTTTTCAATTTGCATTATGCAAAATTTCGAGTCCACTACTTTTTTGTCCACATGACTTTTGGACACTCATCTAAATTGGTGTAACCACTATATAATGCCTTATATAGGGCTTAGGGCGGACGTTTGGAAACAGGTGAGTCCAGACTCACCTGGTTCAGCGGCTGGGAAGAACAAATACATGACATAGAGATGACTTGATGGCTCCACATCTCCCACTTCTGGAGAAAGCATTATGTTGTGTGGAACGTAGCCTGCTGTACTTCTAACTCTCATGTGGAAATGTAAAATATACGTCTTAAAACATCTGGTAGAAGGTAATAAATCGAAGCAATACATAAATTATAAATCACCCTGAGTATAGGACTAAAATGGGGACCACATAGGATAAGGATAACAAAGCCCGTTTTTTGGGGTGGAAGTCACAAAGTCTGATCTTAGTCCCATTGAATTACCTATAACTATTGTCAAAAGCATTCAACATGCGACCCAAAACCTTTGATGTAATTCATAGAGTTTAAAAGGTGAAAAACTATGAAACTGCATTAAAACATAAAATACTAAATAATCCTACCTTGCCAAAAAAAATGAGAAATTTTGTTTTCTAATGTTTCTAATGTTTACAATGTTTTCTAATGTAATTGATGATCTAGATGTTTTCATCCACATCCCTATGGACAATCATAAAATAAATTGAAAAACACAGGATCTTTGTGGCCAGTATAACCATCTGGCACTAGTGGTTGAATGAAATTAAGTACATTGATTTAGCAAGACTCACCAACACAGGGGTTTGGGTGAGTGGGTGTTGCACGATGCCACGGTCTGTCAACATAGAAATCCTCACACACGTCACAGTCTGGGCCAGCCGTGTGGTGCTCGCACACACACACAGTGCGCCCTCTATCGTTGCGGCGACACCTAGAAGCGTGTCCATTACATTTGCACCTCCCACCGACTTGCAGGTCAGAGATGGCCAGAGCTTGCACGGGAACAACCAAGCTAGATGGTGAGGGAATCCTGAAGTTTTGTCTGTTGTTTTGGTTGTTGTTCCTCCTCTTCCTCAGTTCCCGTCCACTGCTGCTTCTGCTCCGCCCTTCAACTGTCCAAATACAGTCTCCGCTTGGGCAAGAGGCCCAAAAATTATTTTCCCTGTTGCGAGTTTGCTTTCTGGCTTTACCACCTTTCTTTGGAGAGGCCGGTAAGTCGGTGCCAAAAGTTTCTTCTCCTTCCTTACTGGTCACATTGTGGCCATCTTGAACATGACCTGATCCTTTGCGGTGGTCCTTTCTACGCTGACGATCCCCCTTTTCCTCTTTATTCCTCCTGCTTATCTCTGAGTTCTTTCTGTCCCTGTCCAAAAAACCCAGTGTATTATGTCTTAACTTGTCCACTTGATCTCCACTGTCAATCTTTATATCTGATCTCCACTTCAGGTTCCCAGTTTGTTTTGCGTCATGCACACCATCATACCATTGAGCTTCTTTCATATATTTTACCACCTTTACATTGTTGGAAGCTCTATGGAAGATTACCCGGATGTCCGTGGCTGTAACCCAGTCCTGGAGAGTGGGGCTATAATCAAAATCAGGCGAGGATGGACGACCATCCAAAGTGGAGAAGGCAAGCACGGTCCCTCCCCGCTGTCTCTGTAGGGGCCTAGGGTCTGAGCAGAGCGGCTCTGTCTCTTGGTGTCTGGTTTGGGCAATGGTCTGAGAGGGTAGCTTAAAGTCCTCTATGCAGTTGCTGGAATAGTGCTGCATTGGCCTCCAGGTGCGGCCATAGTCCATGGATTTGAGAATGGATATGGAAATGGGGTCAGACGGCTCCCCCTGGCTGCAGAACTGCAAACTGATGTAGGTGACCTCAAAGCGGCGGCCGAGAGGTAGAGTAAAGACGAGGTCGCCACTTTCGGCACCTGTGCGAGCCTTCCAGCAGGTCATGTTATGTGGGTTGTGCAGGTCCGTTAGTGTGGTGATGTTGGGGTTATTATCAGGTCCGTGTATAGAGTGGGTGACGTTGACAGGGACCCCATATGCAGCATTGATGAACTCCGACAAGCAGTGACGAGGGCGGCCATCTGGGTGGTAACAAGGCTCATGAGGCGAGGTCCAGCTCAATGGGGCGTTAGAGAAGGAAGAGGAGATGAGAGAAGGAGGGAGAAGGAGGAGGAGTCGTAGGAGAACAGGAATGAGAGAGATGGAGTGGGGAAGGGAACGGGGGCGGATCATCATGTCATCGAGCCTAAGGGAGAAGAAAAAAAAGCGCTTTTAAACAAAATTCATGAACATTGTGAAACAAAAGAGAGACATACTGATTGATTTACATTGGCATTTGAAGCATGAGAACAAAACCTAAGATAGACCACCTGTGCCTTTATTGAGAACACATGCTAACATCCCTTGCACCTTGCTTTCTGTAGAGGCCAGTAAAGAATTCATCAAAGGGATCTAGATCTTCACAGTGGTGTCGCCACCGATTCCAACCAATAATCTTGACAACCTTTGGGAACGTATCCATCTTAAAGCTGTTTTAAACTCAAAAGGAGAACAGGGAATGGGCTGAAGGGAGAACACACCCATGAGGTATGTCTGTAATGACAAAAAACATGCCCGACAGCTGGAGCTAAACCCTGCGTTGGCCCACATCCATCACATTTATTGCTCTCTTTTCAAATCGTTTTACCCTTGGTTGGCTCTGTCCGCCAGGAGAGACCCGAGCGTGAGCAGCGGGCGCTGTCACGGTGCAGAAGAGGAAGACATGAGAAAACGGAGAAGAAACTGAAGAAGGGAGGGAGGAAGAGGAGTTGGAGATTAGCTTTTAGCTTGGCTGGAATTGATTTATAGACTGAAAGGCACGTTTGACTTGAGCCCTGCTTTTACTACTTCCGTGACGGAAAACAAACACAGACTTGTGTCCGTGCAGAGTGTGAACAAATCCCTTCTTATTTCTTACAACTGCTGATAACTGTAAATTACCTCCCTGTCAAGATATGCTAGTAAAACCCCTTCCTTTGCCCTATAAAACAAACAATACAACTATTCTCTCAAACAGGAAACAAATTTTAATTTGTTTCTTACCATTAAATTACTTCATTCATTAACTTCACTTTAAGTAAGTTTCCCGACTTGCAAAATTGACATGTAAAAGAGAAAAAACTGTTCATTTTTCAGATTTTGGAGCCACAGGTTTGAAATTGAACATCCTTTATTCTATTCCTAGAAGGCCTCAGTAGTGTACAAGAGAACATAAATGAAAAACAGCATCATGAAGAAGAAGAAACGCAGTCTGTAGATAAGTTTAAAGGAGGGTAAAGGTTATAGAGCAAGGCCACAAACTTTAAAAACTCTGTATATTCAGAAGAATGAGGTCTAGTCAGAAGAAACCACATATTTTTTTGAACAAACATAACCAAAACTGCTTTTCATCTCGAATGCACCATCTTTAAGGCAAGGGTTACGGATACATCATGATGTGGAAATAACTTTCTACAGCTAGGACAAGAAAGCATGAAATGATTGATGGTGAATAATAATAGTTCTCAAATACCACAAGCTATATGTTGCACAAACATGCATGCATGAAAAATAGTGAAATATTCACCACAATTTGAGGAAATCCCTAAAGCAAGTATGTTCTTCCACGATATTTTGACCGATTCCAAGAGGAAAGCAGTGTTGAATTCATGCCACTTTTTTTTTATTCCTTCTTCGTTTTTGTATCTTCTATCTAATGAAATATAACCACATTGATATTTATAGTTCTAACATGTATATATACTTTAAACATTGCTTTTCCAGAGCTCTCTATTTCATTTGAGCACCAACATACTGTCTCATCAATATCCACCTCTTTTTTTTTGTTTGTTTTTTGTTACTCTTCCATTTCCCTCCCAGTCTCTCTGTCCATCTGTCTCCTGTCACCTGCCCCCTTCATTCTGTTCTGAGAATATTCTTAACTGCTGTGAGATTGATGGGGTCCTAACAAGCGTTTGACACTGACAGCAAAGTCAGCAGGGTAGCATAAACCAAACTGGTAGGGGCAGAGAGCCTCTCCGCTCTCGTCATCCCGCTCAATTAGCAAACGGCCGAAATCTGAGGCTTTCCTGGGAGACCACACAGGTCAGAGCGGCCTGTGCCCGGGGGGTCAGGACACCTTCAAAGTCAGACAATCCTCTCCTCCGTAGGCAGCATCCATGTAAATTGTGTTGAGGACAAAAGATTTTTTTCTGTTTTAGTTTGTTGTGTTGCTGCAGGAAACACGCAGCGATGAGTGGTCTGACTGTGACCCTGGTTCTATTGAACCACATTCCTGAAGTCCAGGATGCCTCAGCTAGCCATTCCTGGCGTGTCGAGACATGCCCCTGGGGAACCTGAACGCACTGATAAGAAGTCGGACCTATAAGTTGTTGGGTGATTAATTAGTTCTCTGGTTTCATTCGGTGTCCTTACCCTGGTCACATATAAAGGGAGGAAGGATTTGAGGGAGCTGATCGTTTGTTCTGAAGGATTTATTCTGCATGTGGAAGTTGGAGTATGAGCAGGCCGGAAGAGAAACAGGATCAGAGTATCTCTGCACTAAATGAAAATGATGCCATTACAAGGACTTAACCCTTAAAATAATATCAGATGCATCATTCAAAAATTCAATATTAAATGTAGATTCTCGTCATTACTTTGTATGAAATGAAAAAAGATATTTACTTTGTCTGTTGCAGCTGCAAAGTCAGATTAATGTTTCAGAAAATTATATTTAACTTTAATGGCACCTGAGGCGTGTTTCAGGAGATGCATAGATACAGGGGATAACTCCACCAAGAGTTCAAGGTTTAGTCTTTGGAGTCAAAATGATTTTTATTAGAGTTAAAATAGTGCTCATTAGAGCCAAAATGAAGGTTTCCAGGCCTGCCACCAGTGGCGTGTAATCTCTCATAGATAATTGGGGGTAAATGTAGTGTTTCTCTTTGTCTAGTCAGAGCAGATGCTGAGGGCTTTACGAAACTGTGTTCCCTCTTGTAAGTCATGCAAGAACGGATTAATAACTGAATAAACTTGATTAGATTCCCCAATAAACATTGATAATTCAAAATCAAGTTTGAAATGTTTAAGCAGCTTTCTAAAACACAAACATCATCACTTTTATTAGACTGTTCTTGAAACTTAGAGGGTTTTGAAGCTTCCCTGCTGTAATGTATCTTTCAGAAAACTCAAACAGTCAAATAGTGGTGTGATGAGATCAACTGCGTCTCCGGTGGATGATCTGTGGAAGCAGCTATGCCTGGCCAGCCGAGGGCTGGAAAAATACTTGCTGACAACCTGGGGGCATGTTTACGGCGCAGTTGAAACAGATGCGGCTGAAGGAGGGCAACGCAGAACTGCGTGATCTGGAGCCCTCATTAGAAAATAAATGTTATTTTAGTTTTTCATCAAAGAGAAACGTGTGCTGAATTAAAAAGAGACACTATGGTAAGAAATTATAAATGAAATAGTGCTGTTAAATTGTTTTTTTATTTACTATTTTTTGTCAAAACATTTCTGTTTTTCTAAATCATGCTATATAGTAGGGATGATTTATATTCATATAGCTGCAGAAGTGTCTCTGCAGCACAACCCAGTTTACCATAAAATGCTATAAGCTTACTTCACACCGCGACTTACAGAAGTTTTAAAACTCCAAGATTTAGTTTATTAGATAAATATTAGATATTTTCCCCTAGGAGATTTTATTTGATAAATGTTAAGTAATAATTTGGGTGCTTTTGCTTTTTCCTATTTTTTGTTATAAAATGTATACAGTGAAGTGTGCATTTGAATATCCCTGTCACTGTCATTACAGCTGCAGGGTTTTTGGGGGTATGTCTCTACAAGCTTTGCTCATTTAGAGAGTGAAATCTTTACCATTCTGAGGAATCGTACCCACACCTCTCCATCGACCTGTTCAAATCTCAAGTCTTGCAGCAGATTCTCAGCTGGATTTATGTCTAGACTTTGGCTGGGCTTTTCTAACCCCAGATCTGCTGTGATGCAGGCTTCCATGGTGGTCTGGCTGCATGTTTAGGGTCATGTCCTGCTAAAAGGTGAACCTCTGCCCCTGCAGTCTCAAGTTGTCTATCAGGCTCATTTCCAGGATTCTTCTGTGTTTAACTCTAACCATATTTAAACTTTAAACATCTCATCCAAACGTGCTAAAAAAAAAGCCTTGGCATAATTCAGCCACCATCATGTTTCAAAAATAGAGTTTTTTTTCTTATATATTTGTTAAAAGTTAAATTTGTTCTAATTTGGGCAGAATAAATTCTGCAACTAGGTATTGGCATGTCAGATACAGTAAAATCATGTTAGGATAAAGCTTTTCTGTTTTGCCAATTCCTATAATTAAGCTGGAAAAATCAGATTTGAACTTGAAAGGTGAGAAAATGTCTTTGCAACAACAGGTGTTTCTTTTTTCTTCTGAAAAACGTGCCTTATATGATTTCGATGGAAGTCCATACCAGACCAAACTGCATGTTTTTACCTGCTAAACTGCTGATGACCTGTTCACACGTTGGTATGGTGGGCCTGTCGTGCATGACTCAAATGTTCTGCTCAACAGATGAGCTGGATTTGGCCCGTCTAACGCGTTTTAACATTCCTCGTCATGGGCAGCAGCAGCCCTGTCCGGTCACACTGAATCCAACTCAAGCTGCTCTCCTATTATGCTTTTGGATTTCCACAGACTAAATGATCAAGAAGCTCGAGGTGGTGCGGTTTAACGATACAGAAGATTTCCCAGGGTTTTGCATTGCAGCTCAGCTCCAACAAAGATGATTGTCTCTCTTTTGTTTTGTGTTTGAAGCTGCACCTGTTGGCACATGTTTCCACACTGACACCTTTGTTAATTTGCAATTGTTGTCAGCTGGGTCAGAAATCTAACATTGGACCTCTGGGCGAGGAGAGGAGGGCCGAGCATGCTGTCTGTAAATTCCCAAAGTGCATTCCAACTTACACACGAAGCAGATTCCAGGAGCTCTGTTTTAGGTATATTAACCTAATTTTAGACCAGATTGGATCTGCATGCAGCTAAAGGACTCAAACCATTTTTACCTTGGTGCACAATGCAGGGGCATCAAATGAGGGGGGTCAACCTCAGCTCCCTAAACATGCAAACAGTTGGCCCTCAAATGCACTGACTCTGCATACTGGAGCTTTGCTTGCTTTACTTTTTGACTAAAAAAACACATGTTGATATTTAAAGGTGACTTTCCCTACAAATCTCTCTCCCCCTTCTTCTTCTTCTTCTTCTTTACAGCCTCACACAAGTTGGCAGGGAGGCTCCACGGGCCTCCAGCTCCACATGATGAGACTGAGAAACAGATGGAGATGAAATCATTCTGATTCCACGTTGCAGTGGAGCCAAAGACAACTTGTGGACGAAATAATTAAAAATAAATAAGCCTCATGGTTGTAATTTAGTGTTGGTGAAAATGGCAGGTTGGTTATTAAATCAGAAACACTGCAGGGGCTCAGGCTTTTATGAGTAAAAAGAAAAACAAAAGAAAAACAACTAATCAGTGGGTAATTTATGGGCATTTTTTATGTAAAAAAAAAAACAAAAGAAAAAAAAACAGACCATGTAGCTTTGTTTTGTGCATTGCATATTAAAATTATTTACAAAGTTGTTTTTTATTCTTGGAAAAAAAGGGGGATTCTGATGAAGAAAAAAAGCCTGCAGGGGTTGGAGAGTGCGATCAATCCAAGGACTATGTGGTTCGTTAAACACAAATGTTTATCATATTTAATTCGGATTATTTTGGCAGCAGCTGAGAGTGAAGCCCCGGGAAACAGCCGCTAATTACACTTGTTGAGCAGAAATTGGCTGCAGCCAATTAGCTTTATCGCAGAGAGAAAGAATAATATTTATTCAGCGAGGCTGGATCTGATCAAACAGCTTTAATCGCATGCTTTGTTTGCTTTTTGTTTCAGCGTTTAAAATTAATTACAGTTAATTAATGACCCACAAAAAAAGTCTGGGCTCTTTCATTTAAGGCTTATTAAATTTTATTTTCATTTGATCCAACAGGAGATAGAAACAATGATTAATGGATATAAAAACTAAATGACAAAGAAAGTTTTTGTTTAAAATAAATAAAAAATAAACCCGCTCTTAAAGAGTTAAAAACGGTCGAAAAGGAAAAAAGTTAATTTAATTAACACTTTTACACGCTTATATATTCATAATAAGGTAAATTATAATAATAACAATTGTTATTATTATTATAGCGTAGTAATATCCACACTATTGTCCTTTACTCTCATTTAAAGGAAACGTTTTTCTAAGTCACATATTTTGCCAAATTTTGAATAAAACATGAACTCCTTTTCATCCGAGTTTAAAAAGCTGACAAATACTTTAAATCAATTCTATTCTGTAAAATAAAAGGAGGTCTGAGAAGCTCACCATGTGCGTCCCAGCTTTATTCTCCTTCTGCTCCAGCAGCGCCTCCTGATCACCGAGAGCGGCGCAGCAAAGTGTGCGCACTTTACAGGAGAGGAGCGCACCGCGCGCCGTGTGTGAGGAGGAGAAGGAGGAGGAGGGCTGGAAATGATAGGGATAATCTGGGAGGAGGTGTCTCTCCTTACACCAACTGAGCCAGATTTCCCCGCTCGCAGCGTCTCACCTCAAAAAGGCGCACATTCAGAACTATCAGCTCTGGTATGAAGACATGAATCTCATCCTTTGAATTTCTACTCAAAGTGTTTGAATTTGTTGTGGAATAAAACACTTGCTGCAGAAATGTCCCTTGAATTCACGTTTCATGTAAGTTTTCTTGGTGAATCTACAGTATTTTGTATTTAACAATATCAGTAGAGAATTTGACTTTGTTTCATTAGAAAAAAAAAAATAAATACAATAAAACGGGAAAATGGCAAATGTCATCATTGATACACGGATCTCCAGAAGGCCGTGCATGAAGGAGCTTTCTTTGAAATACTCTAAAGCTTTAACCATTTCCATTTATGCAACCTGCATCAGTACATTATTATATAGGATGGGTTCTGGGCTGCACAGTGAGGCAGATTGTAGCACCGCTACCGCTTCCAGCAAGGAGATTTGGGGTTCGATTCCCTTCCATGGGGCCTTTCTGCATGGCATTTATAGATCTTTACATGCATTGAGGAGAACATGCATGCAACGTTGAGTTCTTCCCACAATCAAAAACAGGACTGTTAAGTTACGGTAACTGGGATCTCTAAATGAGCGTGTGTGTGCATTTCTCTGTGTTGGCCTGGGGCAGACTGGTGACCTGCCCAGGGTGTATCCTGCCTTTTTCCCATAGACTGCTGTGGAAAGGCACTGCAACCCAGATGGAATAAGCTGGAGAAGATGGACGAATTATTTTATTTTTATATAAATTGGCAAAATTCCGCTAAACCAACTTCTAAAATAAAGGTTTTCTCTAAACCAAAACAGACCTACAGCATCTTGCTAAAAAAATATTAATACTTCTTTAATTTACTCTTATTTTGTTCTGATAATTTTATTGTAACAGCAGGATGTGGTGCATATCTATCCATTCATACATGCAGAGTCAAACAACAATACATAAATTAACTGCCTATGCATGCATACATGCAAATATGAATAATGAGACAATGATATAGATACCTACAACTTAAATAAAGACAGCTATATTCAAATACATAAGCTTCTCTGACACCATTAAGGTGTAAATCATTCAATGCAAGTTAATGTGACAGAGCATAAAATACTGCATCATTTTATTTATATATTCATCCCTTTTTTAAGGAAATCTTGATCTATGTAGAAAATTCGGTAAATGTACCTGTCCTGTGAGGACCTCTGTGTTTTGTTTTTCAAAAAGAAAAATGTGAGGAAGTTATAAGACATTATATTGGAGTATCGTATATAGAACTCTGTTCAATAAATCAGCTGAAAATGGCTGAGAACAAATGCATGCCACACTTTATAGATCTTTACGGTGGAAACTGCTGAAAACCATCTGTCGATTCCTTTCCATTTAAAGCTATGAGCTACTTTGTGTTGATGTGTCACATAAACTTCCCAATAAACTACATAGGAGCTTGTGGTTGTAACGTGAGAAAATCTGAAAAGGTCACTTTAGCAAAGCTGCTTTGTGTAAACATTAGAATGCATCTATTAAATCTGTTATATTAGTACAGTAAAAGTGCCCATTCTACATGAATACTTCTATTATTCTGGAATCTGTGTGTTTTGCTCTCCAGTTTTGTGATTTTATAGTTTTTTTCCATCATTTTGTGATGTTGTGAAACTGAGAGAGGCTTGAAAACCACCTCGGACGTTTTGATCAGGGTTTAAAAAAAGAGGGGTTTCATTTCCTCCTTTGGCAGCTTCTCCATTTTTTTCAGAGTGAAACAAAGAGAAACTTTAAGACTGGGCTCAACATTTCATTGCTTGTTATGCAATTTTATTTTACACCAAACACATCCTCTTTTATTAGCACTGGCGGGCAAAAACTCAGGACACACAGGAAACTCGAGGCACTGACCGGGCTGACGTCTCGCCCTCCGCTTTGCTCCAATTATCCTCCAGAGAGCTAAAAAAGGAGAAAAAGAAAATGTTTGAAGCTAATTGGCTGGGCTGGATGGCTCTCAGATGTGAAGCAAAACTGATACAGATGGAAATATTAGAAGAAGAACCAAAGCATGGGAGGTTAGGGGGAAGGGGAGGGGGGAGCTTGATTGGATAGGAGGAAACTTTCCCAGAGAAGGACATAAAACTGATTGATGGCTCCCCTCGGGGAATGTTTCCCCAGGTGTGCTGCGTGTGTGTGTGTGCTTACAGTGCACCTTAGAAATGCTTGGACCACGAACAAGAGCAATAAACTAAATTGAGGGGTGAAATAGCACGTTTTTGCATCAATAACGCGATTTGGCAACATAAATACAGACACAAGAGACGTGAGGTGGCTGGCGTGGAGCTTTAAGAAAGGATTTAATAAAACAAACACTAATTGATAACAGAAGGCCTCCCTTAAAATGATGTAAGATATTGTTTGACTGCTTTAATCAGGTTCTTTGAGGTGGCTGCTGACAGGTGCTCTGTGCTGCCAAACTTCACACCCGGAGGCTTTGAGGTGCTAAGAGACCAAAAAGTTAGAACAAACAAAGTAGCAGCAACATGTAGTCATAAAAATGAACATCAAACCTCTTTGACAGGTCATGATTTCTATATACAGGGCATGGGTGTGGCTCTGTTGGTTGGTGGTTTGATGACGGAAAGAATAAAATATGTAAGATAGCCATTTTTATAGTTTGCATAGCTGAAGTTCAGAGTCGGCCTGAGGAAGAAGCAATCTCAGCCGCTGCTATCCCACCATTAACCAGTAGGGGGCCTCCAAGAGAGCTTGAAATCCCTGCTGGATCCAAGGTGATTAATAAGACTATGCATCTCCCTCGAATTTAAATGGGATTTTTAATGACAGAGTGGTGTTGCATGGCTCTGAACTCTTTAAACTGTAAGCAGGAGGTCAAATATGTTAAAGCCATTTGTTTTATATATTTTTTCTCTATTTAATGGTAATATTTCCATTATAGAATTGCACAAATAGAAGGAAATACAACAACTTTTTTTGTAATCACAAATATTAAAAACTACAAGTTTATTTAAACATAATTGATATTTTTCGAAAAAATAGAAATAGAAATATAGTAGTTCTGTAAAAATCTAAATGAATGTTCCTATTGCACCTATTTTGGACCTCTTTTTTTATTTTCTATTTAACTTTTACAGCACCAATGAACTTCATTTAGCCGGACTGAGGGTAAAACAACAACACAAAGTACAGCATAATTATGAACTGATAAATGAATGATCATTTATTTTTTTAAACATTTTTAACAACCCCCTGAAAGCACCATCCATACAGTGGGACACGGTGGAGGCGGCATCATGAAGTAGGAACATAATTCCACAGGAACAGGGAAGCTGGAGCTACATATAAAACATATTCTGTTTTTGATTTGTAGAAGCATTTTTTTATATAAATTTG